TATTAAGGTTGGTAGAAAGAATTATATACTTTCTGAAAACTTATCAATTTAATCTGAGTTAAATGAAAATTGTATGTTGAAATACTAGTAATATTTAAATTGCAGGAGCACAAAGTTGAAGAAGAGACACTACCTCTCGGTTTCACATTTAGTTTCCCATTAAACAAATCAGTTTGACTAAAGGCTTGTTGGTTAGATGGACGAAAGGTTTCAATTGTTCAGGAGTTGTAGGGCAAGATGTAGTTACCCTTCTCAAAGAAGCTATAAAGAGACGCGGGGTAAGAATACTGTTGAAATGATATAAATGTAGTAACGAAAATTTAATTTTTGAATAATGTGAGAAAGGTTGCTGACTTATTAATCTAACAAAATAATTTTTATAAGTGATTTCTTATGCGGTTATTTCGATTTGAGTCATAATTACTCAAGATTGATCTCCGTGGAGAATAGATTATTCAAATTAGAAAAAAGTCTAAAACGATGTTATCAAATGCCATTCGTATTAACGGCAGTCTTATTTCCACAATCTATAGTAATTCGTCTTGAAATATATAAATAATTAAACGTTATTAAAAAATTTCAGATATCAAACATTCGTGTGGTGGCAATTTTAAACGATTCTACGGGAACATTAATGTCATGCGCGCACCGAAATAAGAATTGTAGGGTCGGTTTGATCATCGGTAAGAAGTTTGAAGAAATCATTAAATCAAACTAAATACTTTAAGATTTCATTAACATCGTTTTTGGCCACTATTCGCATGCTATGGTTCGATAAATATCTTTGCATATTTGATAAAAGATCAAGAAGAGATTGATGGCGATTGAAGTCAAATACTTTTTATATTTGCCAGTGGCATAATTTTGTTTTCTAACAAGGGGAATATAAACACAGTGTTGATTTACAAAGAATTAAATCATATAAGAAAAGTAACTATTTAAAAAATCATTCAAGAAACAATGCTTTTATGGTGCGACAAAGTAATTATTCCGAAATATGAAAATGGTCTGTTACAGCAAGACTTAAATATGACATGAAAATCAACATAGACAAAACAAAGGTGATGAGGTTATCGAAATTGGATAATTCCTTGATGGTAGTCTCTGTATGAATCAGAAACAAGGATCGAACAAAGTTGAGAATCGTGCCGGATACAACTTGATTATCTTAGTTTTTATGTAATCTAAAACGGCACGTCGGGGCTTACACTATCTTGCATTAATCATCTGTTAACGCTATCTTTTATCAATTATGTGAAGAGAACATAACATAATGTGGCTTAAGCATTCAATTTGCATCGGCGTTTAATTATTCAAATCATATTTAAAAAACTTAAATTACTTCTATAATAAAAGCAAGAGAGTCCTTTGCATGGGTTCATTTGATTAGAAATATAATAATCCACCACTAAAAAATCACTAAATCATTTTTGATACAAATAAAAAGCCAACGTTTTTATTTTTATTAATTAAACAATGTTAGTTTAACTCATTTGCGCGTTGCTAAATCCTTACATTGAGCGATAGATATTATTATGTTTATTTGATTCAATTAATGTCGAAATGCTTCCGAATATTAAGAATATTGAAAAGTTGTTACTTTTACATTAGGACATTAAAATCGATGTGTGTGCCATTCTGAACGACACGACCGGAACACTGATGTCGTGCGCTTGGAAAAATACCAATTGCAGAATTGGGCTCATTGTCGGTACGTCCAAAGCAAATTATCATTTAGCCTTCCCTCTCATCTAGAATAGTTATTACTTGTCAATAAAACATAAATCATAGGCTTCCTTTTTTAAAACCAATTCTATAATACTAACTCTAGATGAGGGGGAGAGCAACATAATTAAACATATCATGTTGTGGTCATACGTCACATAATGGGTTCAATGCATGTCATTTATATATATATATATATATATATATATATATATATATATTTATATTAATTTGGAAATATGAACAAACAGCACTCTTTTTTGCACTAACTTATTAAACAATAATTTTCACAAACGTTTCGAGACTAGGTTTGACTCATCATCAGTGTGTTATAATTTAAAATTTAAAATATGGAAATCTAAATTAGCATTTTGTGTTATCCATTACAAGTCGCTCGATACACTGTCCTCTGCCACACCAACGGTCGTCGGTGTCCTGTGAATCGAGGGACTTGTAATGGATAACACAAAATGCTAATTTATATTTCCATATTTTAAATTTTAAATTATAACACACTGATGATGAGACAAACCTAGTCTCAAAACGTTTGTGAAAATTATTATTTAATAAATTAGTGCAAAAAAGAGTGTTGTTTGTTCATATTTCCAAATTAATATCTATTATCCACTCAGCATACATTTGTTATATATATATATATATATATATATATAATATTGCATAGTTTAAGTTTTTCTATAGCTATTATAATTTATGATTCTACTTTTCTGAAATCCTCTTTTTCCCAAAGAGATTTAATTTTTCATTTATAATCAGTCTTTCAAATTCACATAAATCTCGGAATTCGCGAGTGGAAAGGGTTAATAATACGAAGTTCTTGAAGAAAGAAGAATACTATTTATAAAAGAAAAATTACATCATTTTTAGGAAAAGGGAGGCTTAGTTCAGAAATTTGGAAATGAAAAATTTATGTATGAGTTAAGTTAAATATAAATTAAAAACATTTAAAAATATGCTTCAACGTCGAACAGAAAATCTAAAGTTTATATAATGGTTTTTACCTCAACGCATGCAACTTGGATATACATTTCAAAAAACATATTTTTCATAATTTACTTACATTTAGGTACTGGTACCAACGCCTGTTATGTAGAAAATTTAAGCAAAGCCGAATTGTTTGAAGGCGACTCAAGCGGCGATAGAGTTCTAATAAATACTGAATGGGGCGCATTTGGAGACAACGGCGTCCTAGATGATGTCAGATCGCAATACGACATTGACGTCGATGAGCATTCCATCAACCCTGGCAAACAATTGTAAGGAAAATTGATTAAAACCTTTAGTAATAAGTGTTTCCTCTAAGCAAATAAAGATTTGCAAATACTTTCTAGAAACTAAATCAACAAGAAACAATCAACAAGAAAGCAATCAACGTTTTACCGAGTTTTATTTCTTTTAAATTTTTAAAATCGGTTCAGCTGTTTTTCTAATCCATCGTCATTCTTAGAATTTATTTTATTTAACTATAATTGTTTTTCCCAGATTTGAAAAAATGATCTCAGGCATGTACATGGGTGAACTAGCAAGATTAGCCATTGTAAGATTTGCTAAAGAAGGTCTTTTATTTGATGGCAAATTATCCAGTATGCTTATGAAAAGGGGCAATTTTTTTACAAAATATGTTTCGGAGATAGAAGCAGATGGTCCAGGCCAATATGCCAATTGCAGAGAAATTTTGGATGAATTAGGTATAATATTTCAATTCATATTTTGAATTGCAGTGTGATTGATGATGATGATAATCTATTTTCCAATGAAATGAAAATTATGCTTGTTTTAAGGTCTATCTTTTGCAAGCAATGAGGATTGTAAATGCGTACGAGAAATTTGTGAATTGGTATCCCGAAGAGCTGCCGATTTGGTCTCGGCGGCTGTATCAACCCTTATTTGCAGAACAGGTGAAACAAACGTCATTGTTGGCATAGATGGCGGTGTTTATAGGTACCATCCGCATTTTAGGGATCTTATGATGAACAAGATTGGTGAATTGTTACCAGAAGGGATCCAGGTAAAGACAATGCATCATGTTTATAATTTTTATTGAGACTTAGAAAATAATTATAACAAATGGATCAAGAATATTGACAATTACTAAGGGAATTGTTTAACCAAATTATTAAGTTAAAAATTTCCTCTTTTATTTTAAAATTATCATAAACTAGAAAGTTAATAAAAGTGGCTTTAACTTACCCCTAATTCCTAAAATGTATTGAAATATCATAAGTTTCATATTTTCAACAGTTTGATCTAATGCTGTCACAGGATGGAAGTGGTCGGGGTGCTGCATTGGTTGCGGCGGTTGCTTCGAGAACATAACAAAAAATTAAGTTTAAGTCAAATAGAAATTATGATGAGGGATATGAATATGCAACATGGTTGATTTTATAAATATCAGCATTTATAGAAACATTCCTCAATATATATATATATATATATATATATATATATATATAAAGCGAGAGGTTTTTCTTCAGATGGTGAAATAAATATAAATATATATATATATATATATATATATATATATATATATGCATTTGTGATGGCAAAATTTGTTTATAAATTTTTTATGCTCGATAGCAAACTAAAAGCTAAAATGTTATTTATATGCATTTGTACATATTTAATTTTACTTATAGAAAATATACAAATGTTATATATGATATATCTATTACATTTTTCATAAAATTGAAGAATGAGTTTTATTTACATTTGCATTTGAACCTCATAATTCTGTTCGTCTCACTACAATTATATTATTAATTATATTATATTATATTATTATTTATGATTTTTTCAATTTAATTATGAAGAAAATAAAATAGAAATATATAAGGTATAATATGATAGCATAGAAAAAAAGTATTACATATAATGCAATAATAAAGTTCTCACTAAAAGTCCGCAATTCTGAATTTAAAAAAAAATCATATAAAAAACTGTTTTTCATTGTCGTACTAAATTGTATCCTTAGATAACATTAGTTATTTTAAAAATGACACCCCCCCCCCGTCCCGATTATTATCAAGCCATATCAAAAAGAAGCAGTTATTATAACATCGTTTCTTTATATTTGTGTGTTTTCTAGGTTAGGTTTTTTGTCTAAAACACCTGACTGGTCATCAACCACATAACATTTGATAGTTTTTAGTACGACTTTATATGAAAACTGAATCGGTCACAATAACTTTTATCTTTCAATTGTAACTCCTAGTAGTGTGGTTCTTTACTAAATTAATTCTGATTCAATTTTATTCCAGGGTTCTGGTACGTGTTTTCGCGCAGGTGATGTACAATGAGAACGACCACTGGACCGCCGACAAAGGCCTCTCGGCCGTTTCCGTCATCAAGCGTAAGCGAAAACCGAACCAGACCGCTATCACGAAGCAGCCGTCGACGACCGCGGCGCCCGTTTCGTCCACTACCGACAACCCGCTCGAGGGAAGATTCGCCAGCGTAGAACCGATACATTGCAACGAACAGGCGGACAACTATGTTAATCTGTCCGATTATGAATACAGGATCGTTGGATCATGCACCATCGACAACAAAGTAAGTAAAGTCAATACAAATTTTTTGGGCATTATATATTTGTTGCAGTACGCCAAATCAAAGCATCCCATATCTTCTTTATATATAAAAATAAGTCGGGTTTTCCTTCCTGACGAAATAACTCCAGAACGCACGAACCGATTTCGACAATTTTGCATTCGTTGGAAAGGTCTCGGGCTCCGCAAGGTTTATAGCTAAAAAAAAGTTGTGCATTGTGCCTTAATGCAAATTGCTGAAACTTCACGCACCGTAATTAAAAATTCGAGTAATGACATTAGTGAGAATTATCAGAATTATGCTTGGTTAAGTCAACGAGCAATTCTTGCCGCAAAGAATAATGATGTACCTGGCCCTGAATTTCACCATTCAATCAAAAATTGCTGGCGATTTGGTGACATACCAATGATTCTGACTGGTCTTCCGTTTGACTTCAAACGATTGCAATATCCGTCGCGTTCGCAATAACATGTCGCAAGGCCAATCGCTTAGTGTTTGCGGGATAAATTTCAAATAGATTATTTAGAAAATCATTGTTTTTCACATGGGCAGTTATACGTTGCCTGTTCACGAGTTGGAAAGCCATCCGCTTTGTTTGTGTTAACGTCAGACCAAAAAACAAAAAATGTGGTTTACCAAAGATCACTTCCATGAAACGGATAATTTGCGGATTCACTTTCATTTACTTAGGGAAGTTCAACTAAAAAACACTTCATTTTTGTAATCAAAATAAATTTGTTACTGTTGTATAATAAAATCAAATTTTTCCTTTTGAAATATAAAACAAACAAAAAATTTCTCCTTTTTTCTCACGAAACCATCTGGTGGCGAAACGGAGTTCGTCGGGATTGCTAGTTATGATATAAAAACAACAGAAATCTAATCAAAAATTATCAAAGACACCACGACTAGTACTTAACAAAATAAAGAACCCGCTGACTAGACATTACTACTCTTCAAAATACAGTAGAATCCGATTAGTATGACGCCGGATATATTGGCAACCGCTTATTATGACGTAATCGCACTAGGAAGTTTGGTTTCCATATAAAATTCCTTAAAAAAACAGCTGTCTAGTCGGTTGACCCACTTTTGCAAAAAATTATGTCCAATTATAATGACCGACATAATTTTACATGATGTGGCCAAGTCTACGAAAGCAATTGCTAGTCTTTTATGCACAATAGCAATAGGGACTGTTTTTACAATAAAATTATGTAAAGAAATCAATCAAAAATTACTGATTACTTACATTAAAAAATCACATTTGTATGTTTATGGATAGGGTAGACCAATTATTAATAAAAGTAAAATTATATTTTTTTAACAAAAATATTTGATAGTAGAGGGCAAAAAATGTATAAATTCATAACCAACCATCACCTTTATTCTTATGACTTTGCTATCAGAAGATAAGCGGCACATAACTGCAATAAAAAGGGCCAACTGAACCTTTACTTTGGCAAAGGTGTAAGCAATAAAATAGTAAAGTTTTTAAAAAAAAAGCAATTTCACAAGAGATTAATTAAATAAATTGTTATTCCGACTCATCTAATGAATATTTCTGACCAATAGCAAATCAATGTAATATGCTGTGTTATCTTTGTAACAAGTCAACCCACAGAATTAATATTTTGCATTGGTTCAATAATGTAGCGTAAAATCCCTTTAAAATTTAATAGAAGAAATTGCATCTGTTTGCCCTCTGGTTGTTCCACTTTACCCCGTATGTGAGGTAAAATGGATCAGATACCAAATTTAAAAAAAAATAGTAAAAAAATAATATTTATATAATTAGGAATTATGCTTATTTTTTTCTGTACATAGTTCGATAGATGCTTGTTTGATGTATGTTATGTGTTGCAAGGTTGTTTATTGGGTTTAGACAGTATAATTACTGAAAGTCGAATTGGACATTTGTGCCCCGCCTTATCCTACGTCAATTTTATTTTATATTAAATTTTAATATGTGTCATTTTTATTTTTAATTAAAATGTATATATAGGCTTTTCTTTTAAATTACTGAAACATTAATTACTGTAACATATTCACATATTAAAACGTTTTTCTTCAGTATGCTTAGTATGACGACCGGTTAGTATGACGAGATTTTGGCGCCCCTTCGATGTCATACTAAGCGAATTCTACTGTACATACATAAACCGACTGACGTACCAACAATACTCGACCATATAAAAAGCTCATCGAACATTTTTATCAAAAATGTGGGTCATCCTAATACTAACATCGCGGGTCTCGGCCAATATACTAGAGACGTAGTTTGGTATGGCAATCACGCTATGCCAAACTATATACTGATCGACCCATAGCGGTTAAATAAGGAGCATATTGTATACACTTTGTAATCAATATTTATTATATATATTAAAATCATATGTTATATAAAGTACCCACGGCTAGACAAATATGTACAAAAAGCAACAATGTAAAATGTATTCGAAATATTGCAATAAATACTTTTGTCTGTCTGTCTGTCAAAAATCATCACAAATTAAATCATTACAGGGCCAACGGCAACTCGAAGTGTAACCAATTTCAAACAGCTCGCGTAGCTGATGCACGTGTACCAACTGTCAGTAAGTTAGCTAAATGATAGTTTAGTCTATTGTTTATAAGCGTACGAAAGTATTTAGTCGACAGTGAACGCGAAAAAAAGAAATCAGTAATGGATTTCAAACGTAACAGTGTGATTACATTATATTTAGCTGGAAAATCACAACCAGCGATTGTTCGAGGGCCCAAACACCTTAAAGTGAGTAAAGTTTTCGCTTATCGCACCATAACTCGTTACAATGAAACTGGTAGCATCGCAAAACGTCATGGAGGTGGTCACCAAAAGACTGCAATGTCACATGAGATGGTCAAAAAAGTGAGAAAGCGACTCGAGCAAAATCCCCGACGAAGTGCCAATTAAATGGCAGAAGAACTTAATACATCTGACCGTAGCATCCGCCGCATACTGAAAAATGATCTCAAGGTCAAGCCTTATAAGATCCAAAAGGCACATGATCTTACGTCGAAGCAGCAGCAAGTGAGACTTCAGAGAGCTAAGGAGTTGCTTCGCCTGGCCGAGAGTGGTAAATTTCCGAACATTGTGTTTTCCGACGAGAAAATTTTCATAATTAAGCAATTCTTAAACTCTCAAAACAATAGGGTTTACTTGACTGAACGTTCAGACAAGAATTTGAGCCATCGACTGGCCACCAGGAGGCAACACCAGCCACAGATAATGGTTTGGGCCGCTGTAACCGCAGATGGGCGATCTCCAATCGTTTTCATCAAGCCTGGCGTCAAGGTAAATGTGCGATATCATCGGGAAAGTATTCTGAAGGTTGCTTTGAAGCCATGGGCAGATCAACATTTTGGTGGCAGACCATGGACGTTTCAACAGGACTCGGCACCGTATCATAAAGCTCGAGTGAACCAAGAATGGCTGAAAAACACCGTTCCGAACTTCAAAACGTTCGCACAATGGCTCTCAAATTCACCACACGCAAATCTTATGGATTTTTCTCTTTGGGCCATTTCGGAGAGCAAGGTCCGAACTAAAGGGTGCATCAGTCTCGAGGTGCTAAAAAAAGCCGTTGTCCGCCAATGGACCAAAATACCTGCAAATCACGTTCGGCCAAATGCGATTTGTTTTTGGACCGTCTAAAGGCCATAGTCAAAGCAAAAGGTGGTCATGTCGAGCAAAAGTGAATTGTTCTTAAATTTTGTATTATTTTTACACATTTTGTACTTTGAATCGAGCAAAATTGATTTTCCAAACTGAATTTATGGCTCTTTCAATTGGTTACACTTCGAGTGCCGGACCCTGTACATTCAAATTTATTAGATCGATACATTAAAATTTTTGAATATATTATAAATACGAATACAATTTGTAGTTATACTAAAAATAAAAACATAATTAATATTGCAATTGAAGTGTTTCACAACAATCATTGGTTCTTCAATAAATCAAACAGAGAAATAAACGCAGAACAAATGTGGTTTTAGGGTTTTTCGAACTCAATAGAGGGTCTTTAGTGCCCAAATTCATCACTGTTTTTAAAGAACTGATTCTCTAATTATAATACACGTAACGTAACGGAAACTGGGTTCGGTTGTGCCACTTTTTTGATCAGACATGATTTTGTTAATTCACCAGTTAGTTGGGAGAAATAAAAATTAAATGGTAATTTAGACATTTGTCTGCGTGGAAATACTGAAATACTGCCCTTCAATAGTCATAAAATCAAATCATACCAAAAAGGACGAATTTTACAACCGCCCAAACCCTAAGGACAGTTATGACAGGCGATAGGTTTGAACACCAAAATAGTGTTTATATAACGACTTTTTTAAGCAGAAATATGTAACACAACACATCATAATCATTGAAACAAACTTTGTGAATATTTTTTTTCTTGTATTAAATTTTTCTTCTTTCTTTTTCGAATTTTGTCTTAGTTAACCCTCCGTCGATTGGATACTCATTTACCTGGACCAGACTGGACCATCATTCATTTTACATGCATTTATATGGGATAAATGAGTTTTTGGTGTCCTATATATTAACGATTATTAGTAGTAAATATTTATAGTTTTGATTTTTGCATGTGTTGAGCTTGCTTATAATAAAAATATTATATATTATACTATATTATATTATATAAAAAAAAATCAAAGAATATAAAAAAATCGTTGCTTTTTTTGTTAATTTTTCTGTTGGTGAACAATATTTATTCTTTTCCGGCGCCTTCGTAATGAATGTGAAATTCAAATGAAAACGAAATGAGGTGCGTCGCCTTTGAAATGAGCTGTAAAATTCAAGTTTCGAACGCAGTACGGGTAGAAAAATTGTTGATAGTGTATGCATTACTCATCCGATTTTCAATGTTTGGGATGACCCATAAGTTTGGTGGGTTTTCAAGGAACTCTCGTCGTGAAAATACTAATATTCATATTACAACACATAGCAAAGAATATATAAAACGTAGTTTGAATAGAAAATACCAGAAAAAAGACAAAATACTGGTTTACATATATCAAAAAGCGTATATTTCATACAAAATGTATGGGTGGTCTATACAGACCACTCCGACCGTTTGAAGTATAAAAAAGTTAATATTCTTATAATTATCTTTTTGTACATTTTTTCGTCCTGATTTTTTCATTGATCGACAGCTAATGAAATTTTAGGAAAAGTCAAGAAATTTTAAGTCGATAGGATTACAAGAAGTATTTTTTTTTTAAATTGAAGTCGAAAAAAGTCTGGCCAGACCACTCCGACCGACAGAGGGTTAACTTAGATTTTTCTTTATTCTAAAAGTTGATAGTAATATTCTATTCAAATTTCAAATATTTGTTTTTAATTTTTGTCAACTATTAGTTGCTTTCATCATTGATGAGGAAATACATTGAAAATCGGTCAAGAGTTAAAAATAACTGATAATGAATAGTTATTATAATATAATAGCTTCTATAAACTAATAATCGATCAATGTAATCAATTGTTAAATAGAAAGTTCTCATTTTTTGCATTTTCTGAAATTTGAAGATTTTTATTTTGAATAGTTCCAAAGAATTACTTTTAAATTTTGAAGTTCCAAATAGAAATAACTCAGCAACAAATTGTATGTAGTATCTTAGAATTTTCCAATCTAAATAAGGTTTTTTGAGCATATAAATGTAACAGTTTATATTTTTATAAATTAAAATAATCGATTACTTTAAATTAATTATCAACTCCTTGTTTTTTAAATATAATAAAACGTGTGAAATATGTATTGGAAATGTTTTCTTTAAACTTAAAGAAATTTAAATAATTTATTTATTCATTCAAGAACATCTATTAGGATAAATACATTTAATAATAAAATATAGTTAAAATAAAAATTATTCCAAGTAATTATGAACATATATATCATTAACATTAAATTAAATGAAGGTAAAAAAAATAGCTTCTACAAATGATAATTAATTGCTTCATATTGTTTTATGAATCAGTTGAATTTAGAAATTATATTTCTTATGCAAAAATTATTATAAATTTTTATTCCCACTGTACTTATTGATTTTTACAGGAAACTCTAAATTGTCCAATACGAAGAGATCTGGAATATCACAAAATCATGCCAACATTTCATCATTGGAAAACTGATCAGAAGAGATATGGGCTTTCCTTTGAAACGGCCAGCGACGCCACCGACTTTGACAAGAATGTTAGGTTTGCTGTGGAGGAACTGCTCAATGGTAAGTATAAATAAATTAATATCAAAAAATAAATGATAGATTTTTTTTACTAATCATATATTTTATCTTAATCTGAAATACTTCGTTTTATAATCAGAAGAAAATATTTTGTTGTTAGTCAATCGCGTCAACAACTGGTCTAGGCGCTGATTACTTTATTATAAATAAAATTATTATATAAATAAATTAAATATTATAAATTTTTATGAAGATAACTTGATTAGCAATTATTTTATATAGCAAGTTCTGCGCATAAATTTGTTTAAAATTGAAAAAAAAACGATCAAAAATTTTAAATTCTCTTTTTAATGTGCAAAGTGACCTTTGAACCAAGCTCTGAAATGATACTGGAGAAAAACATTCACAACTATATACTTCACATATACACAAAAAAATCTATGTCCATAGTCTACAAAAATATATATTATTTTATAAGCGTCCAAGGTATTACAATACGGTATTTTACTAGCATATTTATTAACTTTACTAAATTATTTATTAATCTATATTATTTTATAAGCATCCAAAGTATTACGATACAGTTTTTTACTAAATTATACATGACAGTATTTTATTTAATTAACATGAGAATGATCATAAAATCAGATAAACCGATTTTACCATGAAATTATCCAATGGCAAACTGAAATTTGTTCATTCTTGCATGCTTGTAAGTAAAATATTTAATCTAATTAATTTTTGAGAATTATTTTATCTAATTCAGTTTGTTTTTGCTTTCACACAACTGGCTACTTCCATGGTAAGTTGCAAGATATTATTTGATATGATCATCCACATAATACATATTTGCATTTCATTGCTTGAGAAATATATGTTTACATATTATAACATTTACCGATAGCCTAATATACTTGATAGTCTATACTTAATATACATGAATCATTATTTTTAATATAACATACATATTTTGAAAAATTGCATAAACAAAAAAAGAGTAAGGTGTTTGGTAAAAATAGAAGACATGTAACAAAATTAACAAAATAGGTGTAAAGGTCCTGGAATTTGGACTTCGGTGATTTCTTAGATATTAATTAAATGGCTTTAATAAAACCCATCAATCTACAATAAAATCAAATCAAAATAAACAGATTCATTTGTGTCTAATTCATGGTTTTTAATATTTGGTCTGTTCATACAATTTAAATATTGCGAAAAAATTAGAATAAGAGCAATAAATAGTTAGAAAATATTTGTTCAGATTTTTACGTATCATACATCAATTTTCTATATCATAAAATTATTATTATTAAATACATAATATCATGGTATAAATAAATATTTATGTGCTAGTGTAATTTGATGGTTGGAATAATATTTTTTATATTGCAGGTGTGGTGGACACATGTGGTATATCAAATTCTCTTCGAAAATATGATAAAGATCATGGGGAAGATGAAGTGTTCATGGTAAGAAATAAAATATCAACTAAACAAATAAATTTAATATTTTAATCAACATAAAATATTAACTATAAACAAATAAATTTAATATTATAATCAACATATTTAATTTCAAGGCGGTGAATTTGCCTCTGGATCCAAGCGACTCCAGGTCAAGTTCTGATGGAAGTCACGGTATATAATTTTTTTTTTTGCATTAATTAATATATGATGTAAACTAGTGGGGTGGGTGGCATCGTTTATTGGAACTTCCCGTACCGTAACGAAATGTTCGAGATTACTGAAGGATTTCAAATAGATTATTATAAATATTGTAACCGTTGCTAATATTTATAAATATTATATAAACTATTGCAGAGTTGAAATTATTTGTAAAGTATATTAATATAGTCTAAAAGTTAAAAATAATATTTTCTTACATAAATTAATAATGGATTATTTTTTATTTATTAGAACTTCAATATACGTCGTGAATCATCATGTTCATTGAAAAAACGCCCACCTATGGACTGTTCGATGCCATTCTCTTCCATTAGGAAGCCCATCACGCACAAAATGAGATGCAGGTAAAAATTAACATTTTTTTATTAAAAGTTATTATTCAGAATGCTTTAAAAGTTTATTCACTACTATTATTTCATATATAAAAGTTGTACATCTGAGACCTAATTGTAAGTTGACTATATGTACCGGTTTGGCCGGGACAGTCCTGGATAACCACCTTTGGTCCCAGGTTTTTCTAAGGCCCCTGGTTTTAGATCTTTTGTTCGGATTGTCCCGGGTTTCCAAAAAATATATAAATAGATTTAAATCGAGTATTCCTCACATATAAAATTTTTTCATCTGATGAAATTGTTTTAATTGTTAATGCATATTTTGAATAATGTAAATATTTCTAAAATTTATTTAAATAACATATAGTAGTAGTATGCTGGGTGTTGAGCAGAATCTAACATTTTTACTAATATCAGCACAAGAAAACATTAATTCATAAAGCATTTTTTTGCTTCAAACACCATTTTTTCAGTAATTATTTTAATTGAAAGTTTCAACAAATACATATGAACTAAAAGATTGGATATTACATTTTTTTACTATACATTGGTATGTTTGAATTACGGCATTTGGGCTCAAAATACAACATTCAATTTTTACAATCAATTTATATTTCTATAAAAAATGCTTTACTTCAAGACAGTAATTTCAATATTTTTACTATTACTTTTATTTTTACAATTTCTATGGTTACTTCTGATTTTCAGGCATTGTCACGAATTATTCACAGAAGAGTCAAATGAGAGAGGTGATTGCGAATACGCCCCTGATTGCTGGAAATCTAGTATCGAAGCTATCTCCGGCATCAGATGTGCCAGGTTATTATATTTTAATCAATAATTGAGGACACTGTTTAAAAAAAAGTTTTATTGCAAAACGTGTTATTAGATACTTCAAGCTCTCAAGTACATATAAAACTTTAAAGAAACTGAACAAATAAGGCATGATTTATTATTTTAATTAATTTCTTATATTTGAAACAGTAAATTTAGAGTGTTGAATCCAATAATAATATAATTTTTACACTGTATACTATATGAACAATAAAATAGATAGTGATTATAATTATCTATTAGGAAATATTTAAAACAATTGTTATTAATCATTGATCAATATTCATTGATTACTGTTTTTTTCTCGAATATTCAATTCTGGTATGCAAAGTTTTAGGAATTTGCCTTAAGGAATGATGCCATACACCACTAGTTTATGTAATAATATATAAGCACTTACATTTTGTCTATAAAGTACGAATAATGAAACTTATAATATTTATAATATATATTTATTGGTCAGTTTTTGTTGAATGATTTAATAACTGTATGGGAAGTTCCAGCAATTTGGCTTGAGTTAAAATTATTTTTGTATTTGCAGTTGTATGCTGTACCACTGCATGTCTGACAGTGAAGGTGATTTTGCTCATCCCTGTGATTGCAATCACAAGGAAAATGGATGTGGAAAAAGGTAAATTAAAAAAATATATAAGTATTAATTAGTTCATTTAATTCATGCTAGTAAATACATTTAATTCGAAAAAAATACTGCCTATAAATCCAGTAAACCTAAGTCTTATACGTCGTATTCCAACTCTTGTATGGCTCTAATAACCGTTCATCTCTGAAATGTGATTTTATCCACATTTTTTCATGTAAATTTGATGCTATTTATTAATGTATAAGTTTTATTTTAAAAGTTGGAAATCTTGTCGAATTAACAGATGGATATATAATTTTGATTTATTTTTCACTCTAAATACCCTATTATTTCACGATATCAACCTTATCTATCAATTAGTATAAGTTAGATTAGTTTGAATTTATTATACTAACAATTAAATTTTTATTATTCATTTTTTCAAAATATTTTCTTCCCATTTTATAGCGTCTGCTCATATGTTCTTAAATGATCTTAAATTTCTTATTAAATTAAATTAAATCAAATCTTATATTAAATGAATGTTCGGTTAATCTATATATTGGTAAATAACTGGTGGTAATTATGCCTCTTTCTACTTGATTATAATACAATTATACTAATCAGAGGTGAGCATAATTGAACTAACACTTGTAAAATGAGCATATAAAAATGAATAAGCTTCTCTAAATTTACAAATTTAGGTTTCATTTTTCATAGAAGAACACACTTCATTTGCTATGCTATGCTTTATCTACATACAATTTCAATTAGAGTGATATTATGCAAAAATTAGTGATTTTATTATTAGTTCGTATCAGTTCTATATGCACATTATTTAGATTGCACAATTAATTTCTTCATAATTCTTAACAGATGGTTAGGCTTGACGTTACTATCCTTCCTGGTACCATGTCTCTGGTGTTACCCACCATTGAAGGCGTGTCATCTAATTGGAATAAGCTGCGGACTTTGTGGCGGAAAACACCATTCCTAAAAAACAAAAATGTTGAACCAAAGAATCAATAATTTTGTAACCCTCTATTTTTGCATTACAGTAGAATAAGAAAAATAATACTAATCATATCGAGTTCAATATACTTATCTTCATGAATTTTGATTACAAAAATTGCTATAATGCTACTGTACAGGGTTCAACAACAACGAAGTGTGTAAACTATTTACAATAATGGACGTCAACCTTCCCTCTACCATTTGTCGAAATAGAATTTTATGGTAAGTGGTAGAGATTCAGGCCTATTAATTTACACAATGATACACTTTTCATTGTATGTACCTCTGTCGAAACTTTCACCTAGAAAGTTATCTGATTTTGCAGTCGCAATTAATTAAATTGATGTATTGTAAAATATTCAATGTTCAAATATAATGGGTGTTTAAAGGTTGATTAGTCCTAAAATGGCTATAAGAATGAGTTTCTTTTGTACTAACAATATAAAAGTGACTTTGATACTCCAAGTAAAGTACAAAATGAGATTAGTCTCTGATGTGATGGAAAATAATGAAATAATGCAAAAACAAAATATATATCTTTAATATTATAAAAATCCAAATGGAATTCATATAAAAAATTGTTAAAAAAACTTTATAGAACAAATATTTTCTTTCTTTTTAAATAAATCATTGCCAATATGTTCTTGAATAAACAAGAAAATAATCAACAAAACACGAAACGCAGTATACCTGCAAAAGATATATCAAATATCTTTTTTAACATATTTAAAAAATATATATGTATAAATGAATAAGTTTGATGAATTTCTCTTGAGATCGCGTAAATTGTAAAATTATGGTAGAAGTATTATCAATTTTCTTCAGAAGTTGAGCTTTGCAAATGTTATAAAGCGAATGTGTTCATCCACGGGCTCAGGATCTACACATTCTGCTTGCAAATATTTGGATATCGAGATTATAAATGTCGGGTAAAAATGTTAAAGTGAAACAATGTTAGTGCAACTGAGATAAAGTTACAATTTACGTTTCGCGTTCATACCTAAAATACTCTCATATGTATAATTATATAGACGTTATTATGTTCTAAGTAAAAATATGTATTGCATTCGAATGTAAGTGCTTTGGAATATATATATATATATCTGTAATATTATAAATGTCAAACAAACAAAGTATATTATGAAAGATGTTTGTTCGCAACTTACGGTTGTGAAGCTTTAAAAAGTTTATATACTTGGAAGAATGTTATCAAAAGAATTTCTTTCAAATTTTTCAATGACATCGTTCTTCCAAGTGAGTATATGATTTAAATCATGTCAAATGATGAAAACATATTTGAATGTAATTATAATCATGTAACTGCTATATTAACATAGAGTCTTACACAAAGACTATTTAATGTAGTGGGCGCATGTTAAAACACTGTTTTTGTGCATAAGTATATTTGCTTATGTACATGTATTTCTGGACATTGAAATAAGTAGTATATGATAAAAACAGTATACAAAAATGAGTTTTATTATAAGAGAATTGCACCTCTTTTATCTCCATAGCGAACTTTTATTTTATTGAAATAGGTAATTATTAATATCACAAACAAATTAAAAATTATTTTATTAGTTAAATAAACTAATTAATAAATAACTTATTATTTTAATAGTTTTCATGTGATAAAATTAAGTAATATACAAATTTTTATAATACTTTAGCAGATTTCTACAAAATTAAACGATTTACAATCTACAAATTTCAACAGAATTAAATGATTGCAAATAATAAATATAAGTGAATTTTACAAAGTTTAAATTTAAAGTTTGAATTTCGCGCTCTAAATTATACAATTCCGACAAATATTTTGACACATGTTGTTAACTTCATTTGCGTCAGTTGTCAAATAGATTTTCGTGAATTAACATGCGGTCGGGTTAATTAATCAGGGGTTTTTAATTAAATCCTTGATTAGTTTTAATTAATTTATGCATCAAAACCTGTAATTAATTTAGTAGATGATTTTGATATAATAAATTTATCGTGAAACGTTAATTAAAAGCCGAAAAAATGGATATGTGTGGAAGTGCCTTGAAATAGCTTTATAAGTATCTCCATTTTGAATCAGTTTTATAATTAAACAATAGATTTACAGCGCCAATGTATCCTTTATTTATATATATGCAATTATAAAATGTATCATTTATATATGTGCTAGAAAGTGCCTAGGTTAACCTTGAATAGTTTGATAAGGATATAATATTTTGAATCAATTTTATAATTAAACATTTTATTTACAGCGTCAATGTATCCTTTATTTATATATATATGCAATTATAAAATGTATCATTTATAAATGTGCTTTTGTAGGTTATACTTTATCACTTCCAACTCATATCTGTTATTATCGATTTCTAAATTCACGAAAGTTTCTAACATAAATCGTGTGTTGTGTATTATGTAAAGACTTTACTCGGACAATTGCAATATGTCATGTAAAAGACAAAGTTATGTAGTGGTTTTAAAGTAGTGAGTTTGTATCGAGTACTTGAGATTTCTGGCAGTTGCTCCAGAGGTGGTTCGAGTAATGACTATGTGCCCTGGGAGCTGCTGTAGAGGATATCTAACGATGTAAGTGCAAAGCATGTTTTATACAAAGCGAGTCAAAGAATATATTTCTGATATATACAGGCATTTATCATATTACATCTTATACACTTATAATATTTTAAATATTCAATATTTAACTTTTATATATATATATATATATATATATATATATGCATTAAGTTTTTCTTAATTTTGAATTTAAAGCAGTCAAATAATTTGGAAAATCTTTACTTCAACACAATATTGTTTATCATCTTTAGTGAAACTATAATTTCAATAGAAATAAATTAGTAGGCGTTTACAATTACTGACGCAGATTGTATTACATGCTACTTTTTCTGCTCGTAATAATAATTTTTTTCAATAATAATATATTTTATGCTTGTTTTTCATATTGAATGAAATTAATTGAAAGGTACTTAGAGAACTTGTCCATTTGTTATCCGATATTATTTATAAAGCAGCCTGTATACATTTTAGTGGAATATTTTCTGGCTCGTGCATTATTAATATAGTTGTATACATATATCTGCTGAAAATATTGTTTTTATTATAATAATTGAGTCAATATAATTTTTTTAATAAGGTGCACTTTATTAATTTTTAATACATAGAATACAATTTGTTTTTTCTTAAGTCATCAACAACTATTATGCTAATAAAAGATTTTAAAATAATTTGGCAGACATATGTGTAAAAGACGTTGTTCTTATTTAATTTGCTATGGGGAAAACATGTTGATTCAGTTTTTTTTATTTATTTATACAAGTGCCTTTTATGAATGTTTTAAATCAATATAAAAGAAAAAAGTTTGTACTTCTCAGAAATCAGAAATAGGTTCAGAAATTCTTTTATTTTATAAATAAAACTATTTTGTGTGGAATTCAGAATTCTTATATATTAAATTTTTGTTGCTAAATGATTAGTTAACCAATACAGCTTTTTGTATGCTTTGATTACTTATTTGTTGAAGGGGCCCTAGCACCTTACCTCAGGTAACTCCTAAATTGGTATTTTGTTACAAATTAAAAGTTGCAAATTTACTTTGTTACAAAAATCTCTTTTTTATTACCCCTCTTGTTCATTATTATACAGAAAAAATATTTGTATTTGTATTTGACATTTCCAGTGTCAAGAATCATGTGTTTTCCCCAAGCGATATTGACTGCATGAACATTCTTATTTATGGATAACACGATTGTTGGTTTTGATCAAATTCTTTCAAATATTTAATACGACTTACCAAATTAATAATTATATGCAGCTTTAAAAGTCTTTTACTGTAGTTTTCTTTTAAATTTATTCAATTATATCGCTTCATAGCTAAATGATAGATTTTTATTCTTTTGTTGCTAAAAACAATTTTGATCAAGACATACAATCAAAGTTTCAAAGAGTTGACTTGAATGATTAGGCAAAATTTAAGTTTGATTACAAGTTTATTATTCGATTCAAGTTGTAAAAATTATTTAACTTGATTTCTAAAGGATAACAATCAGCTTTATACAGTTTTGAAGTTTTTAATGTTCAAGTTTTCGAACATTTTTCATTATTTCATTTTACAAGTTTTATTGAATTTCTTTTATGGCTTTTTCAAATAATTTGTATATTATTCAAGTCAACTAAATTTGTTTTTGTCTCGATTAATTGTAAAGGTTTCACATGTTTTATCAAGTCGTATAAACAATTTTGATTCGATTAATATCATTTCATTTCATCGATTAATTAAATAATTCTCTCAAATAATTTTTTTTTTTTAAGTCGAAATTTTCTGATTATAATTCTTTCGAATAATTTTTTTTTTCTAAGTCATTTCAGATATTTTTTATTTCTAAGTCCAAATTTTCTGATTATAATTCTTTCGAATAATTTTTTATTTCTAAGTCCTTTCAGATATTTTTTTTTTCTAAGTCCAAATTTTCTGAAACCTTTTCAATTAAGACAGACGAGTTATTTATGCATGCTGTATTATCCCAAAGCCAACATTCGAATGAATGAGGCTCACATTGAATATTTCACAACGAGAAAATTTTATTGGGACAAAGTTAAAAAATTTAACTAAGTCCCAGTAATTTTTTCTCGTTGTGAAAATTTCAACGTGGACTTCATTTCATTCGAGTGTTGGTTTTGGGAATTGGTGTGAGGGAACACTAAAAAACATAAAAAAGTTTCAACGCTGAACAGAAAAGAGAAAAATTGACCTGGGACTTAGGGGGGTTTTTTTAAGGCTCTCCACCCCCTCCTTCCTCCTCCTCCTCCCCTCTTCCTCCTTTTTTTTTCCTTTTTTTCCGCTTTTTTTCACATTTTTTTTTCTTTTTTGGTGTTTTTTTCGCATATTGTGGTTTTTGGGGTAGATTTTTGGGTTCGGCATGCATCTTCCGCAATGTGTCCCTCTGCGTGTAACCTCTCGCATCACGGACCTCAGGTTGACCATCACTTCGTGTGTTCGTTTCAGGACCCTTTGCGCTCGCCAACAGCCAGCCACCAGCACCGCTCCATTTTTTCTGCTTCAGAGTTGCTCGTCGTCGCCTTCAGCCGGATTCGATCCATCTCACCTTGTGCCTCCAGAGTGATTTCACCGAGTATGCGGTCCCTTAAACCACTCGGCTATTTAAGTTATTGATGATAAAAGTTATTTTTATTCCTATATTGTATTAATATTGAATTTTAATAAAGAATATGTATCATACACATCTCTCTTATTCATCATCTGCCTCTACCCCTCTCTTTCCCCAGTTCTTCCTCTACCTTTTTTTTCTGTTTTTTTTTTTTCTCTTTATGTATCTCTCTTACAGTCAAGTGCGAAACTTGAGTTTTTTGTTTTTCAGAAATATACTAAGTGTCAAGGTCGAAATGCGACACCTGAA